GTTATTTCTGTATCCTGGCAGCCTGCTGCTGGTACATTTCGTGCACGTAAGGCATGCTTAACCCCTGCCTTTCCTCATATCACCACACCCACCTCCTCAAGACGCCCATTGTGTCTTCGCAGGGAGGATTTGCTTTGTAAACCAGTGACATTGTAGGGAGGAGGGGCCACCGCCTGCTTTTGCTTTCCCTCCTGGTCACGTGACACATTCCCCTTCCAGTAACCACAGCAACCAGCACTGGTCCAGCCTGTATCATGCTGTTATGAGAAGAGGAGGAAGAGAGAAAGAAAAAGCCCAAAATAAACACACTCTTCCCAGCAGCTGTCAGAGATCGCAGTAAGTGCCGTTCACTTGGCTTCTTTGCTTTGACTGTGTACTGCTTATTGTGCATGCTGGTGAATAAATAAGAGGCATCCTTACTGGCTGCTTTGTTGCGGTGGATGACATCATTACATATGAATTTAAATATGAGATGCTGCAAGTGCTAGTGTGCAATGCTAGTTAAACAGGGCTGCAAATGTAGATGATTGTCAGAGAGACAGCTGGAATATTACGGGTGGATCCCTGCGAGTGCGTTTTCATAACCTGGGATGAAGTCTCAGTGGGATGCATGCTTCCCATTAGCTTTTTATAACACCTCTCTGCCAGCACGGTTTCTACGGTTGTGATGGAGGAACTGGGCCTTGTGTGCTCTGTTTAATTAGCAAACCTACTGTGCCAAATACAAGCACGATTCTGGGTCGCCCTGTTCTGCTGTAGAGCATCCATATGTGGAACGTCCTTGTGGTGCTGGAGGAGGATACAATGTTATTATAATGCAGAGAGATCTGGTTTGATGCATGAAGCATCAGTATACTATATGAGAATCTGATTATAAAAACATGAAGAATGAAACTTAAGATATTATATTGCATTTAGGTACACAGGATACGGGGTATGTACATAATCCAATAAAATCAGAAGGTATATTACAACAAATGAATGCTTGTATGATCAATGCATAATTCAATTAATTTTGTAAATCATTGTAAATCATTTGCGTTTGATGTCATTTTGTAAAGTAAACGTAATGTACTGAGAATTGAGAGGTTTTTATGGAATAATTTCTGCTAACTCTCACTAGAGCTGACAATATTACTAATATTGACAAATTCCTTTTTAAATTACTAATAAAAAATGTAAATAGTTTGTGGTTCTGCTATTAAATTTATATTCATTTATATTATTTAAACGATTTATATTAATTTACTAATACAATGACAAACTATATACTTGTTTTATTGTATTTAATCGTTCTTTAAAGATCTTCACTTATGGAGTGAAGAAAGATTCTCAGAGCAGCTTGTGTTGATGGATGGCAGATTTAGTGTGGCAGGACAGAGGCAGGATAAAGCTGTGGTTGATGTTCTTGCTCAACATAGAGAGATAAACTAAAACCATCTGCACTTGAATCTATGCACTTAGAGAAAGAAAGAAATCACAATATGGCACATAACCTTGGGGAGTAGTTTTGGCTTACAGATCAGTATGTTACTGATTTTCATAGCATAGTAACCTCAATCCTATACGCTGCATCTTTCAGTTAAGGCATAATGGCAGATTGAATGTGTAATTTAAAATAGACATTATATAAAAAAGATACACCCTTCACCTTTAAGGCTCTGCAATCACTGGTCAATGTACTTTTTTAAGTGGGTGCTCAGTGAGTGTTGTTGTGTAGAGCTGATAGTTAAGAACTCAGCACTCAAAGAGAGGAACAGTGTTTTCCATTTAAAGCTATACAATGACATACTCAGAAACACCTCAAACAGTTGTACATCAACAGATAAGTGGATATTTTTATAATGCTATCTTTGTATTTGTCCTTTGAGTCATGTTCAAGAACATTCATAAACGTTTTGTTTTCTATTGTAGAGAGCTTCTTGCAGAGCAAAATATGTTTGTAGTTCATAACATTTGCTTGCTTCTGTTGCTTCCTGTGAGCTATGATTTCCCAACAGTCTTTTCTAAAATCATCTGACATTTTTTGGTTCTTTGAAAGAAAAACAAGTCCTCCTGCACTGCAGTATGTTTATTTTTTTGTGAGTTCCAGACCTTTGCTTGAAGCCTGTCAACACAATGAATCCGACTTGCTTTAAGTCTGTCAGAAAAATAAATACAACTTTTATAAGATGTCCTCGCCTTTTCTGGGCCTGTATTTGGTTTAGAAAACCATAGAGAGTGATCAAGGAACCAAGCCTTTTTCATTTTCCTAGACTGGTTGGATGAAGGGACACTGAATTTTCTCAACCAGCTGGCATTTATAACTCCATAAGACTGGGCAAAATCACAGAGGTCATAACCGCTGTTAAAACTGCCACAGACGACAGTGGCTGTTCCCTGTCCAGACAGAGCATGCTTTGCTGAATAACACATTGTACTGATGCAGTAGGGCATCTGTTCATATATCAATCGCCTGATTTATAAACCATTTTATTACTGAGAAAACTTTTTTTCTGGACAGATTTATGAAGTGATAAAATGAGATATCCAAAATGCCCTCTGTAAAACCTTTAATGTTTAATGTTGTCTCTATCCATTGATCAGATTTCTGTTCTGGAAATACACACAAATTCTGCACATTTAATTCAATAATGCCTATTCTGCATATTTAAACATGCCTTTTCAGAACACTTGCAATACAAAACAACTGCCATAATTTACTGTGAATTAATCAACTATAAGGATTGGGAAGCATGGTGATTCCCCTGTGTGTGGAAAAAAATGTAAATAAATAAAAACAGTTGAAAACTTTAAATAAATAATAAAATGTTGTTTATCATAAATAATTTAGTATTAATAGATTATGAATAATTAGGTACTATTGACCCTAAAACAAAGGACAGAAATAAAGAGAGAACAAACACTAAACAGATTACAGAAATGAGGAGTCCCAAATCATTTTTAAACCTGTGAACGACCTTGCCTGGTGACGTCATTTGAGAAAGCCAATCAGATTCAACTGTGGCAATGTTTCGCCCATTGCTGCCGGGGGGGGGGGGGGGGGGGGGGGGGGGGGGGGGGGGGGGGGGGGTGAAGCCAAGAAGTGTTCTTTCTCAACCGCCGTGCTCTTACAGTGAAATGCAGAGGAATAAATTCAACATCGACTGAAAGTTATACTTTATTGCCTTGTGGACTATTATCATCTGATACGTGACTGTTTACTCGTGAGAGAAATATTAAGGTTGGATTTGTTTCCTCCCCCTCTGCTGCTCAATAGTGTGGGATCCTCCGTCTCTCTCGCATTAGCGCCTTTCTGCTGCTGCAGTATGAACGCACACAGGCGGACCGATTTAGTACACGCGTATTTCGGTTAAAATGTTTGGTGCTTGATTGGGATTTTGGGAACGACTTCAAGACGGACACGTGGAATAATAAATAATGTCACTGCTTTGAATTTCGTTCTTGGGAAGTGCACAGGCAAAGGCGTGTGCTTGTTTATTATTGGATCCATGAAATAAAGGTAAGCACCGACTGCGGTGATTGTTGTTCAGAAACGGCTACTTTTGCTGGCTGGTGGTGTGAAGTCCGACTCATTTCAGCGAACCGATTCTTTTGAACAGTTCGTTTTAAAGAACCGGGTCAAAAACCGATTCAGTAATTTTTACGTCATTTTGCTTTAAAACGTTCCATATATTGTCGTTTAATTAGTTGTTTTCGATTAGGTTTTATTAATAAGCGTGTTTATAATCATGTATCCCAGTTCAGCCATGATTCAGCTCATAATAACAAAGTGATGTAGACCCTAAACATATTTTGCACTTGCATTAAAATAAATTCATAATCCTCTCTGGCTTAAAAAGTTTTTGCGCGTTATAATTAACGTTTGTTTACTAAAAGCAACTATTTCTTATATGTCGACAAAACTGTTGTGTTAAACTTGCTCCCAGAACGTTTCTGCGATTCATCTGTTAAAGTAATTTCGTCCCATCTGTCAAATCCTCGGTTCACCCCACATGCTCATAGTATCAGATCAGTCATCAGTTGTCGGTTCTTTACGCATCGGACATCTTTGAAATGAACTCTTCTCGGTTCATTGAATCAGTGAGTTGTTGACTGGAAAACCGCTCGGTCCAGTTCAGTCCGATTCGTGAACGAATTGTTCAGACCGGTTTTGTATAGAGGTTCTACAGATTCATGTAAAAGATCCGACCCAACTATCGCTAGTAGGGATATGCCGGTATCAAATTTTCATGGCGCGATTAATTGCTAATGCTTTTATTACGGTATACGGTATTATTTGAAAGTGTGCTTTCATCCAGAGCGTCTCTCACATGTTCCGCCATGCGCTTCTCGTCCGTGCTTATTTACATCAGAGTGCACACGCGTCTTTCACGCAGCATACAGCGGTGTTGTGCATTTGGACCAGCTGATGGGAAAAGTATTCTTATAATGCATTCAAAATTCGGAATAATTTGTAATATATATTTTTTCACGGTATTTAGAAGTGCACACGATAACAATATCGTGCATATTCATTACCGTGATATATCGCATTACTGAATACCGGCACAAGTCTAATCGCTAGTAAACGGAGATCGCAAACATCGCATATGATATATATATATGACATAATTACTCTGTCAAACTCTCTTACGGAGATAAATAGTTAAATCTTTTGACACACTGACCAACATTAGAATAAGATGAAAAGCCGGTCTTTATTTATTATTTAAGTTTCAACGGTTGATAAGCATTTCGTTTCATAGCGAAATTTGAAATGACTCGCGTAAATTACTCATTCCAGCGAACCTAAAGTTAGATGCCGGTTTGTTTACATTTTATAATAACATTCATATTGAAGAAGTAACGTAGTTCACCTATAAATAAAAATGCTGTCTTAATTTACTCGCCCTCCTGTTGTTGCAAATCTGTATTACTTTATTTTTTCTGTAAGACAAAAAAAAATGTACGCTGCATGACAGCCCCAGTCATCATTCACATCCATTGCATATTTTACATACTGTGAAAATGAACGGAGAATTGAGACATATTTTGTGTTTAACAGAAGAATCTAAGGCTTGAATCACTATGATGCGAGTGAGTAAAAGGGGGATTTTCATTTCTCTGTGAACTGTTTCTTTAATAAATAATTGGTCAGCTGTTTGTGTACATTGACATGTGGAACTATTTCAGTGGACATAATCTGTATAATGCTTGTTAGTGTTACCAAAAATATACAAAACCAACAAATGGTGGTTTACTGCTTGTGTACAAAATGTGAAATAAGATATTTAGTGAATTATGCATGTGTTTGTTTAGACTGCTGCATTCCATGCAGGATTCCACTGGTCTATCAGGGAGAAATATGTGTTGTGTCCCCACTGAACTAACCCGTTAGTGAAGGTTATTGCATCATCACCTGTGCTTCTGATAATCTCATCATGCTGTGACGTTTGCCCATGACCAATCATAAGATAATGTAAAACTTGACATTGACTGAGACTCTATAATCTGACGTCTGTCTTGCTGACCCACATTTCCATAATGGGCCTTTTCCCATCCCATGAAGACTCTCTATGTGGCACAAATGTTTTTTTTTATTGATTTGATGTTGATATTTAACACTGATGCATTGCAGGCATGCTGTTTACATGCAGGAAATAAAAAAAGTTAGTTCTTCTGATTGACTGGCATTTCAATATGGATTGTCTTATGTTAACGTTATAATTTCTTAATATTGTTGAGAAGATTATAAAGTAGCAAATACACTGATGGATCCTTTTTTACATAAACCATCCTTGCGTCTTTGTTCACAGTCAGGTCAGTGAAAAACCAGAGCGAAGAAGACTCTTTTGCTGACTCAGCTCAAACCCAGCTGATTATTTTGGCATCTACACCAGGTTTAGATTAGATTAGATGTTTGACTTTCTAACAGCAGCCATCAGTGGGAGAGAGAGGCTGTTTGTTTTTTTGACCTGGGAGCCAGACATGAAAAGACTGTGGGGTAGATCTACTCAACTGTGACCAGTTAAACGAAAGTTAGGTAACATTTACCAGTAAGACGACCCAATAGATTGCCTTTATGGAGGTCCAGCGTGATTTATTTACACTAGAGTTCTCCTTTGCAGGCTGGCAGATAGTGAAAGATCATGCTGTGGGCACTGAGTTGGCCTTAAAAGGAGATGTCTGCAACTTTTGGCTATAGGCCTATTGTTTATGCAGCTAAACTTCAGGGATTTATTGCCAACATTTTTGATTTTCAAATTGTGCACTAGCTTTGCCAGAGGTTGTAACGGAAATGTCACAGAAGTGGAATTAAAGAGATTTAATTTACTCCTTGTGAATGTAGAGACAGAGTAAGTTCTGTTCATGTCTGTTTATGTTAGGGATGCGCCGATCTGATATTCATATCGGGTATCGGCTCCGATAGTGCCATTTTTCTCGGTCAGAGAGGGCCGATCCAAATCCGAGATTTTTTTTTTTTCTTCTTTTCGATTGTGTGAATTATTCTGTGTTACTTCTGAAGCCATACGATAGCTTAATGTGAGCTACATATGAATATTTAAGTCCTTACATTAAAGTTCACACAAACTCTTTTCTCTGCTGTGGCTGTCAGTCATTCGTTCAGCCTTTAAACCCTGGTCGCGTTCGGTTACAGCAGTCAGCTCGGTAAAGCTCTCTCCAAGATCATTCTGTGTTCCCATTATACTTGATTTGTAAATACATGTCTATGATTTTGCAAAAAGGACTTTATCTTCTTGCTGGAGTTTAATGTTGTTTTGTTACTTGCTACCGGGTGTCTGTGAGAACAAAACATGGGCGTAGAAAAGACTATAAATTATTTTTAATGTACACAGTAACTGAAATTTAAAACTGTTAAAAGAAAGGCTCAATAACTGTTGCACAGATATAATACACTACGCATCAATTTCTCTTCCCTTTGTGCTTTGCAGTTTTTAACACGAAGCGCTTACAATGTGCGCATCCGGTGTGCAGAATGATGCGCACATTGTAAGCGCTTCGTGCTCATAGACTGTATAAAAACAGTTCGTGTTGCACTGTATTTGTTTTGTCCTATCGTATCTATCATATGTTGTTGGCTTATTAAAACAATATGCTGACATTCAAAAGAAATGTATTTTAATTTTATAGTATATACTTAAACATATGAATCAACCCTCTACATTGCGAGTAAATCACTTGCATATGCAACTAAATCTTCACTCTGGGCGACTAAATTATGTCTAATATTAGCCAATAGCTAATAAATTCTTAGATTTTACTCGCCAGTGTGTGAGTTGGAGGCTGAGTATAAGTTTAGCACAGATATATTTTCACTCACAGAACACTCTGACTGAGCACTTCAGAGTTTCACTCTGAGTCAAGCGATCTGATATTTTTCAGTTCAT